GGATTGACGGAGTAGACTGATTTCCACCGCCTGAACCACCCATTTCGCAGGTCTAAAATTCAACGTCTTTGCAATGAATATGGAAGCAAAACACAATGTTACAATGTTTTGTAGAGCAGCTAAATCTCATTCGAATGTTGCATAAAATGATGTGGTAAAATGGAATTTCTACAGTAAATTTTCTGTTCGAGGCAAGACGGCATTACTTATAGGACAGCTACTACCAAAGCGTTTTTAATACTTTGCAGGAGACTTGCCTTCCACAAATGTATTCATATTCGAAGAACTTTCTGAAGTTTGAATTTTTGGAAATTTTCAAATTTGAATCTCCTGAATATAAATAAAGGGGGAAATATGACATTAGATTCTTATCGGGTCCATTTATCTCAAGAATTAAGTGCATTTCAAAAGTAGTAAGATTTGACGGGTTATCTCCCAACCAGAAAGAAAAAGCAATAAAGATAGGTAGATGAATTTCCCAATAAATAGGTTGGCACCTTCAGAGAATTTTTGTTGGATTCAGAGTCATTTATTTCATTAATACATCTGTTTATAATTTTGATCAAAAGAAGAATTTTGGCACTATTTACCCTTTACTGCCCCACTCCTCGAGAACTGAGCCGGATTTTTATCGAAATTGGTCATTGACTGTGAATTTGGCTAGAAACTTGCCTTCGGGGGTAATTCGACCCGTAGAACACGAATATCACATTTGTTTACCGCTAGAACGCCTGGCGCTCGCGTCAGAAGCGCCGGCGCCAAAAGGCGCCAGAACATCTCGGATCCCCAAATTCGCTGGAAAGTTGTCCTCAGAGGTATTTTGACCCGTAGAATATGATTATCACATCAGTTTGTTACGAGTGAACCTGTAGCCTGCGCTACGAGCGCCCGCAAACTTATGAGAAGTCAGAAAAAATTATCGCTCCAATTGAAATACTGAAATCCTTCACGTTCTTCAATTGCAACACAATTTTTACACCCCTCTTTCTAAGGCTATAACTTCCTTCATATTCGAGCTTCTGCGCCGAAGTGATTTGATTTGGAAAATTCAAATTATTCTCTCTCCAACCATGGTAAAAATTCTTCGAAAGTTAATTTAATAAAAATTTAGTACGTTGTTACTTTTTTCTGTGCAAATGCGACTTTTTGACCTTTAAACGATCATAACTTTGTTCAAAGTCATTCATTTGGGAAGCTGAACACGGTATGACAAACTACAGGATTCAAGCTTTCTTAACGAGCACCAAAACGTTCCTGAAAAGTCAGCAGTTCAAAAATTAGTCCCGTTGTTACTTTTTTTGAGGGGTATTCTTCAAGCCATTTTCCGAAAAACGCGGGTTTTCTTAGGTTTCACTGCCCGTAACTTCTTGGAAGACCAATTCATGTTTAATTAGGATGTGCTAGAAAGCTTCGAGCATGCGCTTGCACTACATCCCTTGCCTTGGTGCGCGCCACGCCTCGGGCGCCCTTCTAATTCGCTGATTCATTTGAAAGCTCATTTAGAGGGAAGCGTGGATGCTCTAGTATCAGTCATCTTACGAAAACGTAACGTGCTGGCTATTATCCGATATTACCAAGAATCCCACTGCCGGCGACCGAGAGAATACGAACC